CACACCACTCTTGCTGGCTGCCAAGAAAGGGCACGAAGGGATAGTGAAGCTCCTCCTGGACCGGAAAGAGGTCAACCCCGACTCGAAAAACAATTATGGTTCCACACCGCTCTCGCAGGCTGCCTCGAAAGGGCACGAAGGAATAGTGAAGCTCCTCCTGGACCGGAAAGAGGTCAACCCCGACTCGAAAGACGATGAAGGTAACACACCACTCTTGCTGGCTGTCAAGAAATGGCGCGAAGGAATAGTGAAGCTCCTCCTGGACCGGCAAGAGGTCAACCCCGACTCGAAAGACAATGAAGATAACACACCGCTCTTGCTGGCTGCCTCGAAAGGGCACGAAGGAATAGTGAAGCTCCTCCTGGACCGGCAAGAGGTCAACCCGGACTCGAAAGACGATTTTGGTCACACACCGCTCTTGCAGGCTGCCTCGGAAGGGCACGAAGGAATAGTGAAGCTCCTCCTGGACCGGAAAGAGGTCAACCCCGTCTCGAAAGACAATGAAGATAACACACCGCTCTTGCTGGCTGCCTCGGAAGGGCACGAAGGAATAGTGAAGCTCCTCCTGGACCGGCAAGAGGTCAACCCCGACTCGAAAAACTATTATGGTAGCACACCGCTCTTGCTGGCTGCCAAGAAAGGGCACGAAGAAATCGTGAAGCTCCTCCTGGACCGGAAAGAGGTCAACCCCGACTCGAAAGACGATGAAGGTAACACACCACTCTTGCTGGCTGTCAAGAAATGGCGCAAAGGAATAGTGAAGCTCCTCCTGGACCGGAAAGAGGTCAACCCCGACTCGAAAGCCAATGATGGTAACACACCGCGGGCTGCCTCGGAAGGGCACAAAGGAATAGCGAAGCTCCTCCAAGACCACATAAACACCAAACTCGATCCCTACCCGCTCCCTTCCCGAACGCCCTCCCCGCTTCCGGAACCTGCCACAGACGATACTGAGGTCCCAGCATTCCCCCATCCACACCTGGAAGTTATCGAAGTAAAGACAACCGCACCCACACCTACACCTGCACTCACTCCCCTTCCCCCTCCACCTCTGGATTCTCCTTCCAATAAGACAAAACCACTCTCCGTCTCCTCACCCCTAGCCTGCCCATCCATGGCGGCCGCTGTTGCAGTAATACTTGTTGCTATACTTGTCGCCTATTGCTTGCATTATTCTGAGTCTCTTGCATCTTGAATATTTCCTCTCTGCTCCCCGTGTGTCTGTTTCGGTCTTCCCTGCCCTGTATCCGGGTTTCTCCTATTTTTGGTGGCAAGTAGTACTAATGGCTAATGGTCTTTGTTTTTCTTGTCTTTTTTTCCTTTTTTTCTGCTGCGAGATTAGTTATTTACTGGTATATTGTGCTGGCTCGAATGTGCATATTCCCTGAATTGGTGGTGTTCTTGTCAAGTCATGTATTATATGTTTCCCTTCGGAATATACGGGGGTTTTGGCATGCTGCTTGAGTAGAGTTACCTGGGAGATTCATCGTGTGTGTACTTTTTTATTCCTCTTCTACCTTATCCATTATGTACTGCTTTATTATTTTCCACTATATTTCTTTTTTATGTGGGGTTTTGGAAGCCAGCCTGAAAAAAACTTTCTTTTTGATCGTACTACTCTCCGGGTGGGTGTGTTTTTCACTTGTGATTTTTTCTCTCAGCCATTTTTGTCGATCCTGAATGAAGGGCATGCGCGTTATCTCATTTTTTTTTTTCTTCTAGACTGCGATTCTTGCTGGCTTTGATTGTTTTAAAATGCTTTTCTCCCAATGAGCTGGATAGAGATAATCCAATGTCGCTCTAATGACCAATAAACTCGAATATCTAGAGACTATCTGAGATGACTCAATCCTGCCGGCGCATCCTACGGATCCCCCTACCACCTTAGAGGTTCGGGTTTGATGGGTAACCCATACTTGGCCCCAACGGAACATAACCTAACCCAAGGTTACAAACATCAGAGCCAGCCCAGCCGAACCCGAATAGACCTGGGTTGGCCCAAAAATATGAGACCCGACTACAAGCCATATTTGGGATTGCGGCATATGGACGCGAGGTCAGCGAAGCGGGGGAATGATGTCGGGAGTTTCCAAGCGTTTGGGCTAATGTCATAGGAGGCAAGTTAGAAGGTTGGCCAAGGTTGATGTTGGAAGCATATTTCACTACCGGCTCTCTTGTGTACGGTCTGTCAGGATAATCGCTTCATAGCTGCATCTGTATTGCAAATTAACTCTGTGTATTTGGCGATTACTGCAATGTATCGAAGGTACATCAATTGAATTAATCGGGCAGGACCGGTAATATCGCGTTGTAGTTGTCGATTAGAGCATTCGCTGTAGAACGAAGGTCGATCAGTTAATAGCCCACGCAAAGTTACCGGAGGTGGATATGAAGGAAGGATAGAATCATCGGAAGTGAACTTTATGCAAGAATTTGGACACCGGTGAGGTACTGGGATCATGAGTGACGCTTGATGTTTGTTTCGCATCTTCCCTATATTTTCTGTATTAGTTACCTCAGGTATTTAAGTTGCTGTATTTCCTTAAGTCCCAATTCAATCGCGCTTCTTACCTCGAAATGAGAATCGACTCCAATCTTGAAGTTTGTTTTTTTTGAGAAACGAGTAGACCGTCGGCATTGATGAGTACGTGCCGGACCGTATTCAGAAAGGTACTCCAGATGTGGTCAACCAGTCGATAAGAATAATAGCCTAGAGTGGCTTAACTACGGTAAGGGCAGCAGGGATTAGGCGAGCGGAGAGAGAAACTGGTGGTGCAACCATTTCGTTTCGGGCTCGGAGAAGTCAGTTGGCCCTTGTTGTTGCTAATGTGTACCACTGAGGGTGTGAGATCGTATTTATACGCGTTCGCATAATACCGTATAATACCGTATAAAAATGGTATATTATTCTAAAAATTCATATTTTATTTAACCCCTAAAGGGTATATTGCAAAATGTGGAAAATTGAGTGAGAATCTGAGGAGATAGAGTAATATGAGAACTCTTTACTCTTTAAGGCTCAAGAGTAACTATTTCAAACCTATCATAAACCTAACAATCTTTGGTTATGACCCATTGTCATCGCTTATGGTTAATTTGTACAGGTTGTCAGAACAATTAGGCAATTAAATGTCCACTCAAGAAGTAAATAACTAACAGTGAGTATCATATTCTCTCTTTTAAGAAAGATTTGGGCCAGGGCTAATGCTATAGGGTTAGAGATTTCAGGATCTGTATGTGTCGTATGTATGGTATAAAAAGGAAGGGAAAATATATGATAATATACCTATATTTGATTACCCTAGCACCACTGCACACGTACATCAGATGACGAGTGATATCTTGTGATGCTGGAGTCCGCCGGTGACAGCCAAGAATACTACTGTAGTATAGATAGAGTCGGGGGGCAACAGAACACACCATTGAACCATACAACAATTTCCCCCTGGGAGCGCGATATAGATACTGCACAGCAAGTACAATAAACCCTGCACATATCCCCACTATCCCCTTTCTCCTTTCCATGTCCACCATGCCTCACCCTATCCCTAACCTTCATCCCCAGAACTCACGATCACCCACCACCGTCAGTCTTTATTCAAAAGCACTATACAACAATACAATAAAAGTGTGGTAAGCGCTGGACGTAAGAAGACAGAGTAAAAAAACGATTCCCCCTCATTATTTTCTACGGTGGATAGTCTAGTCTCGGTAGTACAGTATACGAATGATGATAATCTCCACCAGACTTGAGTCCAGTGTAGATCTCAGTTTAGAGCTGGGCTGACTTGGTGAGGAGGAAGAGGGGAGTGTTCATTTGTTGGCTTCGTTGGTGGTTTTGTATGGTAATGGGGAAAGCTGTTGTAGTTGGTTTGGCAAGCATTTGGACTTAGAGCAGTACCTCCACTCTCACTGTAAGGGGTTTGCTTTGGGGGATCTGGTAGAAGGTTAGTTTGAGTACTACCGGTGCAGAATTCAAGTAATACGTAAGAGAAAACATTCTGCTTTTCCCAAGCTTTCTTTGAATCCATTTGATATATCGGTAGTCGATAATCTCCAGCCGTGACAGCACACTTCTAACTTCCGTGCGCACCTATCCCCACTTATATAACTTCACTACTACCGAAAAACCAACTCCTCTCGCATAATAATCCAGGCCCCACCTCCCCAGATATAGTTCGGTAACATAATTCATCGTTCATCCTTGGTCCCCCATCGTATCTCGTTAATGTTGAAATTCACGATACTTCCATACCGCTGTAACGTTAGTAGGGGTTGCAGAAGAAATAGAGATGTTAGAGGATTAGTGTGTTTGGGACATTGTTTGATATGTCACGCTAAAGGATGCAAGGAAAGGTAGTTAGCGGTAGCAGGAATGTTTGGGAGGTTTCAGGAATTACCTAAGGATTAAGGATGTCATAGATCAGAGTTTGTTTGAGGATGAGACGAATTGGCGTCGGACTATGGCAGTTAGGAAACAGATAGGAAACGGTTAGAAAACACGAGAAGGAGCAGAAGGGTTTCAGGACTGTGAGAGAACGTCGGAGTTAAGGAAGCTAGCTTAGGAGAAGTTTGACGGAGTTGTGCAGACGGAGGGTGTGGGAGCATGAGAGAGAACGGAGGAGATTATGGGCACGATGGAGAAAGGTCTTATTGCCAAGGAACGATTTGTGTATATATAGGACGCCTTCCGGTAACTTAGAAAAAGACAAGACTCAAGTTTTCCTCGTACATTCATAACAGATTTACTTTAATTACAACATACCAAAACCACACACAATTGGAAAGAAAACCAAATGTGATCCATCTTTTAAATTCAGGTGTATTTATTGCAATAGCAAGATCTATCCCTCAGCAAAAAGATTAGGCTCAATTGAGAAACTTTTGCTTGTGTTCTAAAGCTAAAAAAACAGTATTTTTGGTGTAAAATGAATGGCCAACGATGAACTATGTCACCGAGCTGTATAAAGAATCAAGAGAGGTATGATACAATAATGTAATGGTTCCACAGGGGGTCGAACCCTCGACCTTGGCGTTAGCATTCGAACACCGGTAATATTAGCACCACGTGCTGACCATCTGAGCAATGGAACCTTGATAAGTCTAACAAATTGACATATAAGAATCTTTTACTAACCAAGCGGTCTCGCGTTCGAGAACTTTCTGGCTGTTTTCCCCAGGGTTCCGATAAAGTACCAACATCTACTCTGCCCACCACAATTCTCAAGACCCCCATCATCCCACTCTAGTATTACTCCTGTATGTTTTCCCAAAAACATAGAGATCTAAAAACCCAAGTTTCAATACATGCACTGGCAAGTACCAGCACAGACTACACCCAACAGCTCCCAAACAACCAGAGAGTGTATAAGTACAGTACGCATCTTCCTTACTATCCTCATTCGCTTCCTAGAATCCTAAAACCATGCTTACCATCAATTAGTCAAGCTACAACTTCTGCACAGTGTCCATACGCCTTAACTACTCAATTCCCTTCAGGAGCAGTGGTATGTCATGTGGTGATCATGAGGAATCACTCGCATTTCCCACCATAAGACTTGTGTTGGAAAGTTGGCACAGCGAATTGAATGATAGGTAGAGAAATGGGGAACGCTTGACATTCTCAATGGCAGGGCGAGATGCCCGTACTATCTACTGTCGGGAGCGAGGAGGACGAGCCCAACGGCATTAGGAAAGAAAGTAATCGAGATGCAAGGAGGCATATCCAATAGTGCCAGGAAAAAGCAAGAGATCTAAACATGGCCATAAGGCCTAATGTATGGAGAAAAGCAATAGTATGAGTAGTACGACAATAGCGTCAGAAGCATGTTTCAACAAGACTGCCGTACCAGATTCATTTCTTGTCCCCCCCATTGGCGACCCAAATACCCACCCTGAACAGAATCAAAACCCTCAGCCAATTAACCGACGAGCCATTATTCAATAGCACGTTTAACAGCCATCGTGCTTTAGTGTGATATTCCGAAAGCTGTGATGTCAATATCTACCAGAATTAATCACCTTCACAACTCCCACTCCCACCCCTACTGTCATTGAGTGGTTTCCCAGCTGATATAGAAAAGTATTTATCTTCGCCCTTCATGGTTATCATCTACAGTAGCGTACTCCACCTGGACATGGCTGTTGTGGTTATGATGGAGAGTACGTACTGTTGGAGTTAGGATATACTAATAGTATTGCACTGGGGATGGATTGAATGCGGGAGGTAGAATGGGGTGCTTATCCATGTTTCGTATATGGGGTTTGAGCTTTAGGGTTTTGTCGTAGAGTATGGGTTTGTGTGGTAAGGTCTTGTGTCTTGAGAATGTGGTGTCGTGTTTGGGATTGGTAAAGATATAAAGTCACTCCCAACACTAAATTTTGTTTTTTTCCTTCACCATTGTTTACCGGATGTATCGTGGGGAGTCATGGTTAATTGAGGCTATGATGCCTAAATAAATTACACCTGCGAGTATTGGCGCAGCAACAGGTCATCAATCATGAAACAATGGACAATGCCTGTTGAAGTTTCGAACAGATTTTCCAGACTTTGGTTGGCTACGCATATATTTACACAAATGGATAGCATGCTAGAAATTTTGTGTACATCCCTTAGTTATGATAAGAAATCATCGCTTGAACCTGGGGGTGTGGAGATATTATATCCTGCTTGCTGTATTGATGATAACTGGGATCTGGAGATCGGGAAATTACGCCCATTAAATGTGAAGGTATCCAGTGGGTGAAGGTGGAATACTATGGAAGCAATAAAATAACCATGGTGGGTAGACCGAAGTTTTTTCACCCCACCAACATTCATTCCCACAAGATTCCCATCTCCTGCAGCCATGTTGACAACTGTCCATTGATTGCCTGAGTCTGGTATTGGCGGTAAGGATGGTGACGAGGGATCCCTCATCTTATAATATACTGGAATATCTCCCAAGCCTCTCCCAAGCTTCTTTCCCACAATATTCCTCACTTTTGCTTTTTGCACTTTTCTCAACACCACAAAACTGCACTTTTTTCACAAATACCTCAATATCTCAAGGACATAGCTTACCCTAGGTGATACCCTCTGCTGTGGCTGACACCATGGATACCTCAGGACCGGGACCCTCCTGCCCACAGACCCTGGAGACCCCTACTCTACTAGGGGGTTCGAAAGGAAAAGAAAATGAGGCCCAACACCTACAATACACCCAACTCATGAATCTCATGAATAACAACTTTGGAAAGTTTGGACCTAGGAAAAATACCCTGTTAGTACAGGCTGTTATGAAACTTGAAGAAGACAATTTCACAACTGGGGAATTGGCTTCTACTGCCATCATACTCTCCTTGGTGACCCAGGTCACAAACCTTATGATCCTAGTACAAAACCTCAATCACACTATACAGGACCTGAGGGGTGAACAATGACCACCTAGGAAGTAACAACCCCAACAGGGGCAGCCAACCAAGGAACAGCAAGTACAACAAAAGCAATCCTACATGAGTATGGCAGAACAACCAGCTCCGGAGGGTCCTAGAAGCCCCAAAAAAGTGAAAAACAAGTATAAAGCTGACACCCTTACACCACATGAATCTCCCAAATCAAAATAGGCTAAAGGAGAGGACATACCCAATACACCCATCCCAGAAAAGAGGGGGAAGAAAGACAGGGTCAACAACACTCCCACCCAAAGTCCGGCAAAGAGGAAACTTTTTGCTACCTGACTAGAGGTTCAACCACTGGCTGACACACTGAAAGAGGAAGTGAGGATCTCAGTTATTCTAGCTGACATGCTCACCAAGTGTGAATGTCCAGTACCCATAAACCTACAGGTCACATTGAACAAGATCAATGGGACCATCACTATTATGACCCCACCCGGAGCAGACTCATCACAATACTCTGAATACCTTGAGAAGATGTCAGTGGCACTCAATACCATCATCGGCTCTAAACAACCACAGTACATACCCTTCAGGAGGACCTCTACAGATGTGGACGTCATCATACATGATGTGTTCCTATAAGCAATCCCAGAGGATGTAGCTGAGATGGAGAAGTCGGTCAAAGAAACCTTCAATGTGACACACAAAATCAATGTGATGATGGCGAAGTACCTCCAACTTGACACTGTGGAAAGTTCTAAGAAAAGAGCGACATCAATAATCATAAGGATCTGTGAGGCCGAGTTGTAGAGATGCATGCCATCGGTACTGTTCATAGGGAAATACAAAGAGTCAGCAGTTATGTGGCAAGCATCCACCACAACCCAGTATCACAGATGCAGGAAATTTGGCCACCCACAAGCTGGCTGTAAAAACGCAATGCAGGTGTGCCCTATCTGTTCAAAAGGGCACTCCTACAAAGAACACCAGTGTCAGCAAACAGCTTGCTATGGGTGTCGGAAGATAATCCTGAGTTGTTGCCTCATGACACCTGCCAAGTACCCTGCTTGTGATAGAGAATACTGGGCGATGGACACAAAGTGCCTGAGGAGGTCAGCAGTCAAGGTAGTGGCGAAGGAGAAGTATGAACTTAGGATGGTAACCCTAGCCACTCAGGTCAGTGAGCAGTCAAACCCCTAATAGATATCGTCATGTTAGATAACTGAAGACATGATGACAACAATGGATGGAAAGTAAATGAAGTTCAATACAATTGCAGAGGGAGCAATAGTATTTCTCTTTCATTATTTCACATAGTTAGAAGTTTTAAAGTTTCTTTCATTTGTGTTCAAGATCACCCACTGTACAATGGAAACCCACTGAGGGCCCTAGGTTTCGAGTGTATTTCCTTTGCCCATACTCAGGTTTGTATATGTACCTACATTAGCCTAAAGATTTTGTTTGATGTTTCTTTTGTTTTGATTCCAACAGAGGACATTTTGTATTTGAGAATTTTTTCGAAGAAGGGTCCTATTTTGGGACCCCATTGATCTTTTAGTTTAATTGACATTTACAACAGACTAGCGGAGGGGGGAAATTCCATCCCTCCTGGAGCTGTATTTGTTGAAACAAATGACCCCACCCTGGTGGTAGGTGACCTGAATGTTCATACTGTTTTTACTGACCCCTTACGTTCTTTTACTTTGGATGAGAGGAGGAGAGGGGAGAGCTATACAAGGCTGACAGACCTGTGAGGCTACAGCATACTTAATACACTGGGGGTTCATACAAGGTTCCTGGACAACCCTACATTACACATGTCCTCCATAATCAACTATACTCTGGGAAACACTTCAATGATGGCCAGGTTTTCGAGATGGAGGGATGAATACCAACAAACTGAATCAGACCACATAGTAATCCTAACCAAAATTGCCTCAGAGACCCTGGAGATAGCCAGGCCAGTCCCAGACTGGAACAAGATTGAATGGCAGAGTGAGGAGAATGTCCCAAACCCAGTAATCGAGGAGGTCTTGGAGAACTATTGGAGTGGGGGTGAAGTGTTTGAACCAATACTTTGGGCAGAAGAAGTACAGGAAGTCTTTGAGAATAACTTGTAAAAGCTCATAGGCTTGGTGCACAGCTGGGCCCTGATGAAGAGACCAATGAGGTGGTCAAAAGCATGGTGGATGCAGGAGATCACTGAATTGAGGAGAGTATACATAATAGCTGTCTAGCATGTGAGGCGTGATGGGAGTGAAGTGGAAGAAAAGAAGAAAACCAGGAAAGCATACAGGGCAGTGATCATGAAGGAGAAAAAGTGGCACTTTGATGAATTGTTGGTGAATGCAAAGAAAAATAATGTTGGGATGACTCACCAGTTTACCAAGCAACAAACACCTACAAAGATACTAGGCAGACACAATGACTACCCAGACATCACTAATAACATCATAATACACCACTTCTTCCCACTGAATCCAGACCTAGTCAACCCCATGCTGCTGGTGGAACACCAATTGCATGAGGAGGAAGAAGTCTCCAGCCTAGACATGTGAGAAGCGTTGGAGAAGTGCAGTAACAAATCTGCCCCTAGTCCCAACCAGATACCATACTCAATTTGGAAATTCATACATCGAATCAACCTGAAAATCCTGCAAGCCCTGGTGGGGGACATGCTAAAGTGGAGCTTGCACCCACCTATGTTAAAGGAG